GGAGTGAATCACTTATGTGACGTACTGAAGGATTCACACTGTAAATGGGAGAGATTGAGGTGAAGAATATTCACATACAAGAATTTTTTTTTAATTTAAATTAAACACAATGAATTGTGATTTTTCTCATTTATTTTAATGTAGGTTAAGATACTGTGATATAACAGATGAAGGTTGTTCTGCTGTGACTTCAGCTCTGAAATCAAACCCATCACACCTGAGAGAACTGAACCTGAGAATGAATGAACTTGGAGACTCTGGAGTGAAAAACCTCAGTGATCTACTGATGAACCCACAATGCAAGCTGGAGAAACTAGAGTTAGTAACATTATACTGTACAGGGGTTACAGTGTGATTAAAGTTTACTCTTACTTTATTTTAAGACAACAGGCTAAAGTCACATAATTTATATCACTACATCTTCTGGCATTTCCTCATCTAAAGAAAGATTCAAAATTACTATTAGCTAATTAGCTATTAGCTACTGATTGTTCAGTATGTGTGTCAGTATAAAAAACATTAAACTCTGAAGCATTTGATACTTTGTGGCTACAAAATGTGCTGAAATCTGACAAATTTGTTGTGAAAGACAGTAGTGACAAGGCTAAAAATAATGTAACATGATGCATTTAACTCACACATGAGCTTAACGTGGATCTGAATCATTGTATTTTCTTATTCTTTCCTTAGTTTGAGTGGATGCAGTATTACAGAGAAACAGTGTTTAATCCTGACTTCAGCTCTGAAATCAAACCCATCACACCTGAGAGAACTGGACCTCGGTGGGAATAAAATAAAACACACAGGATTGAATCACTTATGTGACGTACTGAAGGATTCACGTTGTAAACTGGAGAGATTGAGGTCAGGAACATCATAATGCTTAAAATCACATAGCTTAAATCTGATTCTAATTTGTTTACAATTATTAGTTATGATTTGTAACATGATTCTGTCTTTCTGTTTGTCTGTTTCTAGTCTAAATTTCTGTGGCATTACAGATGTTTCTTCTTTAACTCAGTCTTTGACAAACACAAAAGCACTGCAGTTTCTAAAAGAGCTTGATCTGAGAAACAACATGATTGGAGATGCAAAGAAGGAGCTCACTGATGTGCTGCGAGACTCAAACTGTGAACTGAGGTGAGTAAATATCTCTTTGTGGTATTAAAGAGAGCTTCATATATTTGAAAGATGTCCCATGTATCTAAGCTATATGTCGAAGATATTTCTTATTAGGCTTTATTGGAAGAGCTTGTGTCAGAACAAATCTGATGTTCAAAACTGTTAATTTTTATTAGTAGTAGTATTTATCTGTTTTTGGTATTGGAGCCTTTTAATGAGTATAATTGCACAAGAACAGTATAAAGACCAATGCCAATGCTTGATTTGTGACAAGTATAAAGACCAATGCCAATACTGCATATACACCTAGTGAAGATGATCTCTCTTCCTCTTTTTGTTAATATGTTTTGTTGATGTGACTGTACAGAATAAAGAGTTATCTTCTTCTGTTTTATTTTCTTCTCTCTCTCTTTTTCCCATTGTAGGTTAAGCTGCTGTTATATGACAGATGAAGGTTGTTCTGCTCTGTTTTCAGCTCTGAAATCAAACCCATCACACCTGAGAGAACTGGATCTGAGCTGGAACTAGGAGACTCTGGAGTGAAAAACCTCAGTGATCTACTGATG